AAAATAAATAAAATGAAATTAATAAAAATTTCGTACACTGCGTAGCGGTAAATTAGACCGTATTCGAAAATGAGGCAGAATATTTAACAGCACTAATTGTTTTAAAAATTTACAGGAACCTCTTAATTTCTTACTAGATGTTAAATAAATAAAAACCATATAATGATGTAAAATAAAAATGAAACTTCCCACCCAATAAGTATTTAATTATCCATAAAGCGATACAGAATAACAGAATTGACTTAAAAAAAAAAAGAAAAATAGTAATAAAGAATTTCTTAATAATATATTTAACTGCGAACTACACAACTGATTCTCAGTAATAAATTGGAGCATTTGTCTAGAATCATTTTTTTAACGGATTACTGCAGCTAGAAATTCTACTTTGTTTCTTTGGAAATGGCACATTTTTTTCGCCGAGTAAGAAAATCCACAAATTGAGACAATGGGGGTGCGATAGTTAGGAAGAGATAACTTTCAAGGCGAACTGACCAAAGACACCCACTGATGTTAGATCGCAATAAATATTATACACATATGATAATTTTTGGTCATTCTGTCCAACAAAAATTTTTTGATCGTGAAATTGGTAAAGAAATTAGAAGAGTACACACACAGTCCCTTAGCTCTGGTAATATAGTACGAGTTCCCAACTATAGTTTCAAATGCTTCACAGTCATAGTTTTTTTTATAATACTCAGTTATTTGGATAAAATGCATAAAACAACAACAATGATTTGCCCATCTTGTTTGCGACCCTGACCATCGTGCATACCATTGCAACGATTGTGCTGGAGAAGAATAATAAGACTTGTAAAATACTTTTATGATTTTTAGTTTTTTAAATATACAGGGTTAGTCAAAAGTATGGAAACCACTAAAAATCTCACTGCGAAAGCATTTTTATGATAAATGGTGAGGACAAAAGTCATTTTTCACGGTGCATCCGAAGGTAACCTTGAGGTCAGGGTTAAGGTTCTAGGTCATTCACGATCATGTCGGTTTTTTAAATAGCGACCCTCCTTTTCGACCCCGGAAATGGAAAGATCTCAAGGTTAATAGTCAAGGTCAATTCAAGGTCAAATATTGATTTTTACTACAATTTTTTACTTTTGATCAGAGGAAGTAACAGTCTTTGTGTAGATACCTGATGCTACTCCTTAGCGACCTTGATCACTAAAGTGAATCCCATCTATTCTATCGTCGGAAATAAAAAATGACAGCCGGAATAATCACTTGACTTCTACCTGCCTTGACTTTGACCTTAAGATCACGTTTAAGATCATAATTACATGTAGAATTCTACGCCCTCTTATTTTTAGCGTCGAAATATGGAGCACTACTCCAAGAACCAATATGATCTTGACCTTAAAAAATTTTGAAAATAATAATAGTACTAACACTAATATTAATTCTATATAAATATATCAATATAAAATAATTTTTGTTTTTGTTTTATCCTAAAATAAAACATGAATGTATAACGAAACTTCATTACAGTAAACTTTGATTACAAGGAAACAAAAAATTTTGTTAAACTTCACTCAGAAATACAAGTTGACAAAATAGATAATTGTGTGTTATAAGAGCTTGAAATTTGGCTAATTTAAGTGAAAATATGATTCAATCTTAGTTATATCAAGCAAATTGTATACAATTGAAGAATTAGAGGATAAACTGAGGGAAGAAAAAGAAGAACCGGGTAGAAAGGAGAACAAATCAAGTCCCGACATAGCCCGAAGTGTAAGATTGAGAAATAAGCGCCTAACACAGGAGGAAAACGGCGGTAACTTTGACCAGGAACCCATGAAATTGAAGCCGCCAAATAGAGCGCTAAGTAAAGGTGTCGTAAAAACTAGGACTAACATTATTACCACAGCCTAGATAGATCTAGGCTGTGTTATTACTAGACAGCAAAGGAAATAAAAGTCAACTAGTGAGTAAACGTAACTCCCGACCATTGTTTCTCAATTGTTTGTCCTTCCGTGGCCCATCTTGTGTGTCTGTCTATATCGTGTTCGGCCCTTTGATCTAGAAGAGTAGGAATCCTTTATCCTGTAGACAATGGGTCCATATCTTAGAGATTTTAGACTTGCAACTGTTGATACGTATACTCTAAATTCAACCTGCGAAATACATGAAGTTTTATCTGTAAATAACAAGAATATAGATTTTAAAATACCTGTCACCAAAATATTAGCAGCATAAATAAAAATTTAGATGAATACAAGGTCCTACATAAATTAAATTCATATAATACGTATTTTGACTGCATTGTTCTTACCGAAACATGGAATGTGGAAAACGTGGATATATACAGAGTGTTTCAGGATTAAGTCGACAAACTTTAAGGAGATATTCCTCATAAAAAAAAAAAAAAAAAAAAAATAAAATTTTTTTCCAGAGACGCTTTATTTTCGAAATATAGGGCGTTAAAGATTTTTAAAAAAATTCGAATTTTTTAAATAACTTCTAAATGAAGAAGGCCATTTAAGCCAAATTTGTCATGACACATCTTCTTATAAGATACCATTTTTCCATAGAAGTAGAAGTCCTGCAAGCAACCAGTGGCGGAGTTATCATTAAATTATAAAAAAATTAATACGGCCTTACTGGAAATAAAAAATTGCAGATTGTTTTTTCGGATGCAAGTAGTGAAATGAAAGTTGAATCAAATTTTAAAAGTTTCTAAATCTGGAAAAATTAAAAAATCATTATTTGAAGTAAGCTGGGAACACATTTATGAACAAAATGACGCTAATCAAGCGACTAATTATTATTTTGTGAATATAATAAAAGATAAAATTGAAAGTTCTACAATGAAAGTAAAAGTAAGTAGTAAGGACAGGAAAATGAATATTTGGATTACACAGGGCCTAGTTAAGTCTGTGAATTAAAAAAAAAATAATTAAAAAGAAAGTTATTGCGGGACCCGGATAATATTATAATGCAGGAAAAATATAGAACTTACAGAAATAGTGTTACGAACTTAATCAGAATAGTTAAAGCACACTTCTTTAAAAGAAAAATCGAAGAGAATCCAAACAACTCTAAAGTTATGTGGGACGTAGTAATGAGGTAACAACTGGATGGATATGAAAAAATATATATAAATCGAATAAGAGATAGAAGTGGTACAATATTAGAAAATGTTCATGATATTTCTGATGAATTTAAAACTTATTTCGTTGAAACTGGAGAAAATTTAACATAATCTGCAATGAAAGAAAAAAATAGGTGTGAAGTAAAAACCAGGACAATATATCAAAATACAATGTTCATATATCCGACAAATATAGATGAGGTAAAACAGGAAATAAAAAGCTTAAAAAGTAAAAAATCAGATGGTGTAGATAATATAGGAGCTGGGTTATTAAAACAAATACAAGATGCGGTGATATATTCTTCCACTAAATAAAATCATTGAAACGGATAATTGCCCAAATCATTTTAAAATGGCAAAGGTTGTGCCAATATTTAAAAAGGGAGACATGGAGTTAGGAAGTTATAGGCCAGTCTCACTAATTTCAAATTTATCAAAAATATTTGAAAAAATTATCAAAAAACGACTAGCAAACTACCTAAACAAGAGTAATATATTGCGGCCAATATCCTCTGCAGTTGACGCTGCTCAAAAAAAAATATAAAAATAAAATAATAATAATAATATATTATCAGACTGTCAGTTTGGATTTAGAGAGGGTAGAAGTACACAGGATGCTGTCTGGAAATTGACTAAAAGAATTGATAAAAGCTTAGATATGAAACAAAGTCCTTGTGCATTTTTATTGATATACAAAAAGCCTTTTGATGCAGTCTCGTGAAATTCTACTCAATAAGCTATATAATATTAAGTATTCTCGGAAACAATGAAAGGGTGCACATTACTTCTATTGAATATTGTAACTTAATTAATAAAATTTGAAAATTTGAATTATATTAATCAAGAAAAATACGATATGCTTGTAATTTATGGTGAATGCAGAGAAAATTTCAGACCTACAGTGAGATTATATTCTGCACGATTCCCTAACGGCTATGTGGGTGACATTAAAAGTATGGTGTATAATAGAAGATATGGCGGACTTAATAAATAAGATTTATGCTAGCTATTTGGCAATTACCCCTCGCTCTTTACTTTCTTCTTGCGATCAGGAACCACGGCGTCGCTTTGAAATATGTAGGTATTAGCGAAATTGGAAATGTTTTTGAACACATGTTGCAGTTTAACGTTTTTTAATTTGCATATTATATTTCACTATTCCTTAAAAAAAACTGTTAAATTAACTTGGATAATTATTGTTCCATCTTGTAAAGTACCTAATACATAATTCGAAACTCTAAAACACGCTTGAGTTTGGGCCTCACCGACTGAAGAGCGTGATATCTCTTAAATTAAGTTTTAAGTTTTTGAAAAATAGTTATTTGACAAAAATTGTTTAGAATTGAACAAAATATCGGATAAACCTTGTTACAAAGTTCCTGCCAACGAAAAATTTCGACTGCAGCCCTTGAAGTCCTTGAGTAAACTAGTGACTTTGGGCGCGTGATTCATTAAGTGTTTTGGACCTAAAATAGTTTAGTGGATAAGCAATAACTTTCTAAAGTTATGACATGAACCTAGAAAACACTATGAATGTAGAAATAATATAATTTTTCAATAAGTTTTAATTAGTTTTTATGCGCTTTTAGAATTAATTAACATACCTAAGAATACCTAATAGGTATGCTAATATAATAACTAAAACTACCGGCAGCGAGCACTTTACTTTATTTTTGTCTACCTTATTTCATTTTCATATTTATGTAAGTAATTTTAAAGAGAATATTCTATAAAAATCTAATCAAACTTGACCCCTGACAATATATTATAGAACATCCATTTTTTTGCAAAAAGCTCAAAGAATCTCATGTCAAATGGCATAATAATCATTATTCGAAATGAAGTTTAAAAAAAGAATGATGGTATTTTTCCGTAACTGATATATAATTTGTTGTAGAGTATTCTTCATAACTTATATAACATTTGTTATATTGGCTTCCATATCTGAAGGAATTTTTAGAATGAAAAAAAAGGAAACCTATGACAAAATTTTCAATACCAAAGGTAAATTTTACAAATAATTTTACATTTATAATTAATTTTAACATATTCATCACTTTACAGCTGGAAAAGTATTAGCTGCCTTTTCCTTTCGTAAAAATTGGTATCGCTTAACAGCACCCAATAATAATCCAGATTTTCGAAAGCTGCGGTCTATACAGGGTATTCGATTTTATAACATGATATGTGTTATATTTTGTCATACTGTTATGGCAACATTTGCAGGTCCAGTGGAAAATCCAAAATATATTGAAAATGTAAGTAATACAAATATCAATTTATATTGTACAATAATTTTAAATATCAATAAGGAACTGTTTTCATTATTTGGGCTGTTATATAGGATTTAACTCTCCATGAGTGCTACATAGTTCTAACACCCGCCCAAAAATTTGGCCTAACTCAGGTCTATCTTCCTAAAATTAATCGAAAATAAAGATTATAAAAAAAGTCAGCCTATAAAATTTTTGTAATTACCACAAATTTTTATTTGCCAGTATTATATTGGAACATTTTCTAATCTAATGTTAAACTTCCTCGATTGTGAAATCTCTTTGATTAAGGCTTGCATGAACAGGCGCGATATAAGGTCAGTTATAGCGATATCGCGATAACACAATATCTCGTATATATTCGTATTAAAGAGGCTTACTTCTGGAAGTAGGAGAAATGTAGCAAAGGAGCAGGTCAAATGAGGAGCTGATGGAAATGTAAGGGGAACTCTCGATAACGAATGTAATAAGGTTGCAGAAAATGGGAGTATTGGGACATGTGATAAGACTTCCGGATGGGAGAACGACAAGAATAGTGCTCACATGAGAGATAGACGGTAGAAGAAGTAGAGGGAGACCTCGGACTGGATGACTTAAAAAGGTGGAAAGAGATCTAGAGGAGATAGGCATTAGGGACTGGAGAAAAAGGGCAAGAAATAAAGCTGAATGGAGTAGTATATGCAACTAAGCCATGGGTGTACTCGTAGACTTCACTTTTTTTATTAATTTATTGTTGATATCAAGTTGTCCATGAAGAAAAACAAAAACAAAAAAATGTAATTAATTAAATTGTAGTAATGTGGTATTATAATAATTATGAATAATCTTAGTTTTGACAAATTTAAAAATAACTGAGGAAACTGAAAAATCAACAAAAGTAAATAATTATATTCTTGTCACTTCTATCAATCCACCATTTATTTCTGTGCACTTCTCAATTCTTTTACGTATGTACATTCATAATTACTTTTTCTATTTAGTTTGGGGCAATTTCTGCATAGGCTTGCATTATCGTTTACTAATATCGCGTCGCTCATTATTTTGTATTTTTCGTACGTTAGAAATAAACTAGAATACTGCTCTACTGTTTGGAATCCATTTATTTATGCCATAGAGAGTTACTTCAAAAACCGCAAAAAAAATTTCTCAAATATTTATGTTATAAGATAGATAATGCTTATCCTGAAAGAGGTACACCATATAGGCAACTGATTAATAGATTTGGATTTCAAAGTTTAGATTTGAGGAGAAAATTAAACTCAGTCACTTTCCTCTATAAGTTTTTAAATGGTCAAATTGATTGTCCTGAGCTGCTGAGTAAAATTGATTTTCATGTTCCTAGGCATAATTCTAGAAATACTGATACTTTTTATTGTTTGCGAAGAAGAACTAATCTCTTATTTAAGTCACCTATCTATAATATGTGCAACTTATTTAATATGGTGTCGCATCTCTGTGATATAAATCATACCAGCTTAAAACCTATTTTATTAATCGTTTCCGGTACTGTAGATGAAGATTTCTGTCAGTTAGTTATATAAGTTGTTCCCTTTGTTTTTTTCCTATTTATTAGTAATTATTGCTTTACCTATTGTTCTATATGTAATTGTCCTATTATTGGTCTTGACCGTTGGGCAATAAAGCATTATTATTATTATTATTGTTATTGTTATTGTTATTGTTATTGTTATTGTTATTGTTATTGTT